TGTCCGGTATGTGCTGAGACAGGCCCGGGTGTCCGCTCATCCCCAGGGCCGCATGAGCGTGCATCAGGCGCGGCTGGTCGTCCATGTCGGCCCGCTCCGGTGCTCCGGTCCTCCGGTCCTCTGTCCAGCTGCGGCGGAGATTCCTCTGGCAGTCTCTCTGTAAGCACAGTCCTCCTGAGCTCGCTCACTCACTCACAGCTCGAGCCACTATCAGCCCTTTAACCACTAAACTCACCGGTGTGTGTGTGTGGTGTGTTATTAATCAGGTCCCGCGTGAACGCAGCGCTTCATACACTCGCGCGTTATTTCACTGTTTCATCCCGCTGCTTTTGTTACATTGTAGCGCTCTCAGAGCTCAGAGACTCTGCGATGCTTTGGCCCCGCCCCACTCGTCCTGATTGGACGCCGGGACCGTGTAGCTCCGCCTCTGCGTGGCTCTCAGTGCACGTCAATCAGGGGAGACTCTTGCTCTTCATGTTTGTCCGCTGCACATGTGTTTTTTGTTAATATCTCTGATAGCGCACATGTATTTAGAGAGAATGTCACGGGATTCTGTGATAACAAATGTTTGGGGGTGTGATATCCTAATATTAAATTAATGTAATAATATCATTTAATAATCAAATATAATATAATTAATTTATATCATAAAATATTAACTATTCATTTATTTTCTATAAACAATTCATAATGTTTGTTATAATTCAAAACTATATCAATACAATAATGTCAAATATTATAATAAAATATATGAATTATATTTTAAAATACACATTGTTTATTCATTTACACATTTATTTATTTATTATGATAATATAATTTAGTAACCACAATATAATATTCTATTAGCATATTAAGATTATTAAAATATAATAATGTTACAATTATTTGTAATGTGTTTTTGTGTAATAAGCAGTAGTATTATCATAAAAACCTCAATACAAATTTATTTATTTTTCATATTTATTTCTAGTAAATATTAATTACATTTACAAATAAAATATAATTTTGTAACCACAGTATAATATTCTATTCAATTAAGTATTCATTTGTAATATGCTTTTGTGCAACAAGCGGTAGTATGATCGTGTATCCCTGAATGAAAAATCATTTGTGTATTTATTTATGTAATCTACACAATACACAATCATGTAAAATATTATAATAATAAATATATAAACTATATATAAAAAACAAATGTCACTTTTTTTATTATTATTGTAGTTGATTCATTCATTTGTGGTGGGAGCTCATTAGACACTTTAAAATGAGGGACACTGAAGGCGGTGGGATGTATTGATGTTTCGAACACGAGCTAAATCATCGAGTCTGATGGTCAGGG